TCATCATTTAATGCACAATTATTTAATGTATGCGGGATATAACCTTGAAATGTGTTTGAATTCACCAGGTGAATAATTAGTGAATTTAAGCGCAGTAGACGAAGATGTTGAAGAAGAAGATCACAAGGGCTCTCAAGTCGTTTCTGATATATGAAACACCAAAATTGGTTGAAATAAACAACTGGAAGATAGGCCTTACACAACGCCTTTTGCAGCTCATTATTGCCATATACGTTGTTTGGTATGTTGACCTTATCTACTCAAATTGTTATACCAACTATGGTTGGGTGATAATATACGAAAAGGGATACCAAGTTAATGATACCGCCATGTTCTCTGTTACCACAAAAGTAAAAGGAATAATGATTATCAAGTATCCTTCGGACGACAATGAGATACCTCAGGTTGCTGACGCGGCGGACATAGTCTATCCACAACTTGAAAATAATGCTTTTTTTATCATGACGAATCGCATAAAAACAATAGGACAGCAAGCAACATCATGCCTAGAGGTAATATCAGCCAATATTAGTCTATTTGAAGGTTGAAGGTGGGCGTCGATCCACTTGCAATTCAGATGATGACTGTGCCAGTCTTAAATCAGTTGGAATCGGTAATGTTTAATCACTCTTTTCTTTTGAAAATATTAATTCCCCTTAAAATAATAGATTTGAAGTTTTTATTCTGAAAATGGAGTAATGATATTTTATTGCTATTTTAGGTGTAAAGACCGGAAAATGCTTAAAACAACCTTCAGGTTCTGGTTCCTGTGAAATATATGCGTGGTGTCCATTAGAAAATGATACACACCTTCTCGAAAATGGACAGCGAACATTAGATTTCATCCGGAATTATACCATCTACATAAAGAACAACATCGAGTTTCCAAAATTTCACGTCAAGAGGTGAGGAAATCTAGAAAGCCTATTTCTTTTTGTACGCAGAATTTTCATTCAGTGGATGGCTAAAAGCGAACCATTTCGAAATTCCAAATGTGATTTATGTTCAATTGATACTGCAGTTCACACTGGATGTTTTACCCCGGTGAGATACTGCTGCTATATTGCTCATTTAAGCCAGTCTGTTAGGTAAAGATGCAAGCATAAACAGTTTTTTCTTTTAACCGAGCCTCGATGCTGCTCAGTACGGCTAAGTTTTCTGTGCTACGTAAATTTAGGAAAGAATTCGCCTTTCTTTTGTTATGCTAATCCAAATATTATAATGTTTCAACGATTTTCTCTACTATTAGTTGAATGGATAACTTTGGAGTTTGAGTTTCAAAGACAGGATAATAAGGCTTCTGAACGCTTGGCCGTACTTAACAGAAACAACATTTATTCATGAATTTCCTCACGCTCTTGCATTGTTATTGAATACACTATTCTTCATGAACAAAAAAATTCGAATTGTTGATTAATAACTCCCCATCGTCCTTCTTGTACATTCTGATGGAAGACAAAATCGTGATGCGTGGGTTTCAAATGCGAGTCTTGGGTCATGCAGATATAATCCCGACCATCCCATCGACAAATACTGTCCAATTTTTAAGATGTCAACCATCTTTGATCAAACCGGTGTGGACGTGAACACGATTTTTAAGGTGAGTCCATGTGCGCTGTTTAGACGTGTTATTTAATTAATTGAGCGATATTCTAAAGAACGGTAATTTTTATCTTGTTGATCTGGCTAACTGAATCTAAAAGTCCAGCCGGCCACTTATTTTACTCTGGTTATCCCGTGTACTTTTGAATTATTTAATTATAATTGCAAAAAAGTGCTAAATGTAACTGAAGTTTGCACACAAACTAGTTTCTCAATATTGGTTTGGTTCTTCAGGTTGACGGCCATTCTGAAAAAAAAAAGATTGATGTTGAGGCAAATGTTCGCATTCTAGAAACGTGCATATTTTAAGGAGAAGAAGTTTTATTGAACACCGGAATCATAATTTCATTAGTCTGAACTTTCCGGTTCCTACAGGAGTCCATCGTCTGAGATTGGAAAACAGCAAAAAATGGGGTGGCTAGTTCTGGCGTGTGTACAAGTCAACTAAAATGGGAACGCGTAGAAAATAAATAAATATGTCGTTTGGCCACCAACTGGCCATTGCGGACTATGTCTGTCTGTGTTAGTGGACGAGATCGGTGTTTTGGGTCAACGAAAACAAGCAACATGCATAGGGGAAAGGGGTCAAATAAAGTCATAGGGGAGAGCGAAGAGGGTCAATGACCATCGCTGCCGTGAGTCTGCGCAGGGCAAAATATGCGGGCACCAGCTCAATACATTGGTTAACTGAGTTGGCATCTGATGCCCAGATTTCAATCCGTTCTCGGCCCGTCTTGCTGCCAACAATGGCAATTATCTTCGTGGTTGTGAAGTTGAATTAGTGACTTGTCTCGTAGCTGTGAGCCGCCACTTGCGATAATGTGTCACCCCGTTGAACAGCCAGCTTGATGTTGGTATACAGTAGATTACATATCTGATGAAAGGTTTGGGATTAGGGGATTTAACACACTTTTGAGGTTGCTTACTTATTTTACTGGGTTGACTTGAGGCGCAAAAAGCTATTTACTAAAATTGAATTCCGTTCAGATCAGTAAACTGGAGGAAAATAGAGGCGGAAATGGGCAAAATCTAGCGTTTGTTGATTTACGAGGAATTTTCTGCGATACTTAACGCTGTGAAAAAGAACTACTTGTGTGTGCATGTTGCACTATAAAAGAACATTAGTTAAGAGCAGAAACATTTTTATTATATCTGTTCACAAAATAGAAAATTTGTTTTGCGTCCATGAAATTATGGTTAGTATAATAATGAGACAGTGCATTATTTTTGGGAAAAGAGGGGCGAACTTATTTTAAAAAATTCTATTTCGCAAGTTTGCAAAGCTTTGTGCCGTAAAATTGAGTAATTAACTGTTAAGGCTGTTATGTGCTATGCCCTAATTAAAAATGAATAGTGTACAGTTGAAGGGTTGCGGGCAAAGAATGCAGTAAGGATGCAGTAACTAAATCGATTGTACAGTCAATATGAAGTTGACGACAGTTAACATCGCACATATTTGAGTGAGTTGTCGCGGGACATTGCGAAACAGTTTTCTCAATAATCGCCGTTGATATTATTGCCACTCTGTTCTGCGTTTGTTATCGTAGAACTGAGCCTAGAAGTAACCAAATATGTTGAAACTGTTCCGATTTAAATAGAAAAATTAGCTTTTTCATTTATATAGAAGATGTATCCTTAATATTTAGGGAAATCTATAAACTAACAAAAATTTCCCATTCTGATCTTGACTTAATCTTCAAAAAATTTAATCAAGCAGATATTTCACGCTTGAATATATAACAAAAGCTCATTTTCAAGAGGCAACTTGTTATAAAAAATTTTTTAAGTCAATCTAAGTCATATTCATTCGCAACTTTTGTTGTGGACCTTCATTTTTCTCGGCAGTGAGT